ATATGGACCATTTCTGCTAACGGGGACTTTTGCCTCATGATGTGCTTTCAGAATATGTAATAAAATTGGGGGTCACCTTTCATCCTGATTTTAGCATATTTTCATTGTATATCGGCACAAATGTGCGCAAAGATCTCTATGTTGATGCGCACGTACGGCATTGCTATTGGAAATAAGATGACTGAAAAGAATGAAAATTTGTGAAAACAATGTCAGGAACCCAAAATATGTAAAAAATGTAATTTCTAGCTTCCGTATGTGGTGTGTGCATAAAAATGTAGTGGAAAATGTCAAAAAAATTTGAAATGCTCAAAATGGCCTGAAACATGCTCTTTTAGTCAAAAAGGAACATTTTGAAATTTTTACGCACACATGCACGCACGTTACGACACACAAAATATTCCAATACGTAATATATTTAACCTTGACCTGAAGTTTATGTCCACTAAATATGATTTAGAAATGACAATTGGTTAGGATGATATGATCATTAGCATAGATGACATCACGCTTGACTGAGCAAATTGACAACCTTATTGTAACTATTCCAGGCCAAGCCAAATGTTCGTGGAAGTGGGCATGGAAGTGGGCATTTCTTGTTAGCCAATTTTGAGATATTGTGCTAACAAGAAATGGGGAGAAAGGTAGAATAAAAAAAAAGTTGATGATCTGATGAGCTCGTGAAGCGGATCACTAATAAATATTGTTGTCTTTTAATAGCGCCCTCAGTCACCAAAGATTCGGTACTGGAAGGAATGTTTTTATTAATGAAATGGAATACTGCTACCTGTAACAGCACCCAGAATAATTTGAGTTACCATTATGAACTATCAGGAGGAGTCCACCAAGGAAGTACAACAAAAACTGAAGTTCTTATAAATGACGGAATTGTACCTTGTACTCAGTACACATTTTCAGTTTTTGCGTCGTATATGAATGTTAGCAGCATTACTGATATTATGGAGTTCATGTCTGGTGTTGACTGTAAGATTTTTTTCATTATACGAATGCAAAGAACATATTATTTGAAACATGTTAATATTTTTCATAGTGTATTGTTTATTACATTTCTTACCTTTATAATAAATTGTATGTTGTTTCTAAATTATCAAATGCCATTAATTCAATGCTTGACAATATATTATACACATTACAGTATACTGTTTACTTTGAAATAAAACACTAATAATCAAATTTAAGACACAAGTATTTGTAATTCAGTAAAATAAATTGTTTCAATCTGCGTGCCAGTAGAAGTAAAATAATACTCATAAAGTGGTAATTATAACATCTATTAATATTGTTTCCGTAAGACATTGTCACCGTGTGATGTGATTGATTGCTTTCTATCGTTTAAGATAAATGAAGCCGACCTAATGGCGAGACAACAACTATTATATAGTCTGTAGTCTATAATTAGGAACGATTTAAAAGTGAATCAAAAAGTAAAAATTATGTTTAAAAAAATCAAATGAAATTTCATTTATTTATTCAGACAAGTGCCTTAGGGCCCCAAAAGCAACTTAGTCACCATGACGTAAGCCTGGAGCGACAGAAAACTAAACTTAACTACATGATTAACTATAATATAAAAATATAAATGTGAAAGGCCAAGATAATTGAAATTTACACACAATTGAATAATTGATAAAAGAACTATAAAAATCGAATAAAAATTGTTTTTTCGGTTAGATTTTAAAGATAGAGCAAATACACTATTGGTAAATGAGAAAATCGTTTTTAATAAATAGATAATCAAAATTTCTTTATGTAAGTAAACTATCAAAGAAGATATCAAACATTTTCTCTTGAGTTGTACTGTAGCAAATTAAATCCAATTAGAACAAAATATTTAGTGAGTTTGATGCATACCCTACTGATGCTGCTACTTTTACTACTTCTACTACGAACTACATAATAACAACAATAATAATTAATAATAATATTAATAACTAATAATAATAAATAATAATACTATTATTATTATTATTATTATTATTATTATCATTATTATGGCGCTATATAAGTTCCATGATTGATTGATTGATTTATTGATTGATATCCCCACAGATCCTGGAAAACCAACCATTAGTTCCTTAACATCAACGTCTTCATCAATCGCACTGGAATTGACATTATCTGATGATAATCCTTGCACAATACTAGGATACAATGTGCTTGTATATAGTGATATACAGAATTTAGAGTTCAATATGGATACCACAGCGACTTCACTGACAGTTAATGAAAATATAATGCCGAATACTATCTACAATATCCAGGTTTGCAATAGAAATATAAACATATATGTAGTACAAATGCATTAATGCATCTAATCAAATAAATGATACTAATAAACAAACATGTCATACGTCATCATAAGGTAATCTTAGAGTATGCTATTACCTGTTTATTTAATACTGGTCAGATGTATGGCAAACAAGCAATACTAAGGTAAGTCATGCATATTAAAGCTAAATACTGTGGTAAGTCACAATTAGAATGAAATGGTGATATTGTAATAAGTTGTTTTTTAATTTATTGAAGGATTTTCCCGAGCAAAGGGTTTCTTTAATTTTGAGTTGATAATTATTGTGGGGCGAAATCAAGAAGTGAAACGGTCTGAATTGGATGTATTTTTCTATGTAACTGTAAGGTTGAACAATGTTTGAAGACTTGTCCGGAACCAATTACTTATTTGCCTGTGTTCCTATGTGTGTTTTTGTTTTACAAATATATAAGTATATTTGTCGACAGCTTGGGCTCGGAGAAGTAGGGACATAGTCCTTTACATTAAAACAATAGATAAATGATGATGTACAATTATTATTGCATTATTCCATTACACTATAATTATAAAATAGTGCATTTTCTGTAGAAAACAAATAGTTACAGTAGTAGTAGTAGTAGTTAAATAAATTCATTGTATATAAAAATACAGATAACAAAACGTAGTAAAAACAAATCTACAAAATATTGGGTTTTTAACCATAGATCAATATCATTAAAATATATTAGTTAAATTTAAGGTACGAAAAACATAATAAATTCTAAAAATTATCAATATTAGGTCTTCCACTGAGCTTGCAAACCGAAGATCGATTGTGCATAAAAACCGACTGCATGTGCTTTGAAATTCTGCTCTGCCTGAATATGCAAGTGTGCCCAATAATTGACTGTATGGTCGAAAATCGACTGTACCTCAAAAACGATTGTACATACTCAAAATCAAATGTGTTTGAAAGTTATCCATCTTCTGTTTCATTGTAGTATAACTGATTTATTTTTTCAAATATTTAGGTAGCAGCCAAAACTCAAAAAGGCTTCGGTAATTTCTCTGATGTTGGTTATGTGTCTACCGATGCAGAGTCTGGCATAGGTACGCAATTTACTAGGTGCTTTTGTGTCTTTGGCTGTAGAATGTCCGTATAATGGATCTAAGTTTGAGTGAATCGTCTTTCTCATAACGGGACGTAAAGTCTTCAGTTTTCTGAACATGTTTTCTTATACGGCGGTATGATATAGCCCACCAAATACATGACGATAATTATTGCAATTATCATTAACAAAAATATTATAATGAAGTTTGTTCAGTTTTTTTCAATATTCCAGTTCTACATTTCCTTAAGTCAGAATAAATGTACAGGGAGCTTGTATAAAAATCACGTCGATAGACTTAGTGAACTACCTGCCTATCTTATAGTTGTATTGTCCTTCTAAATTCATTTTAAAAGAATGAATAAATTTCCATTTACAAATTAAATTATTTGTCTATCCTGTGGCGTTCAACCCCCCCCCCCAGTCGGCGAAACATTTTAATTAAAGAGAGGAAAGAGGAAAAAAGGAGTGTACCCATGAGTTCAGTGGGCGAAAGGAGAGCTCAAATATTTACCACTTCTTTACACCAACCATGGTGGGGCTGAGGTGGCCGTGGCAGCGTGAACTTAAATTCTCTGGATCCGCCCCTGCTATCAATGAATTCTGTAAACAAACTTGTGATATAAAATTATCCATAATAAATATACATATAAAACGCCTATAATATTGATTAAAAATTTATATTGAGGTTCTTAATTAATGGTATCCAAGATTTTAGAGGAACAAAAATTTTACTAAATTCAGAAACTAAGATTATGACTATTAGATATTACTGACCCGTTTATAAATCATTCACTACCAAGTTAATGTCCTATTTTTTATACATGCACACCAGGTATCGGCTTTAATCATTTTTTTATATTTGTATATTATTTCCAGGTGGTATAGTAGGTGGTGTTATCGGAAGTTTATCTGCGGCAATCAGTATTGTCTTTGCCTTGATTTTTGTTAAACGGTAATAATTTTACTTTGTTTTAATTTTATTTTTATTTTCCTCACATCCAACAGCAAGTACACTCGCCACTTACAGGATGAGACTTTACTTACAGTGCAATGGTGAAGCAAATTATGCCAACACTCAAATCAACGAAAATATATGTTTATGAACTTATCTTCAACCTACAAATGTAGCACAATTTACCTGTAAGATAAATCACACAAAAGTATGGCGGCAGGTTCTGACACAATCGCTTTCCTGATATTTCGGAAAAGAGCTTATCTCAACAAAAATAAGTTGATATTTTTCAAAATCTGTTTTTTTTATTTTTTTTATTTTATGATTGTTTTTATTTTATCTTATTAAATTTTTCACATCCTATATTTTTTTTGTTATTATTTGATCTTATTTTACTTATATTTAAATACATCTAACAGTACACACCATATGTATTCCTTACAAGCTAGTTTTTAGCTTAACTATTTATTGTTAATAATATCCATACTCTTATTAAATAACAAATTTATTAATTTCAATAGATAAGGTGATTAGTATGTACAAATAATTCATTGCTCGTTAATTCAAATGCTTTCTATCTCTAACATTTTTTTTAATTCGCCAGTGTGTTGCACATATTCTTTATGTAAACAATGCTTGTGATTGTGTTTGTAGACGCCGCAATTCAAGCAATGAAGTTGTTAGACCAGCTGCTGTTCAAAAACAAGGTGTTTTCGACACAGGTTAGAAGGTTAAGTTCTGTACATGGAAAAAACTAACTTAAATATGTAACATGGCTAAATCCGTTCT